CTGACATACTTTGGACATGTTCCCAGGAGGGACGGGTCCTTGGAGAGGGACATCATGCTTGGGAGGGTGGAGGGACAACGCAGGAGGGGAAGACCCTCTTATGAGATGGATTGATTCGGTGACTGGGGTAATCGGAATGGGTGTGTCAGAGGCAGTGCGGTTGGCACAGGACAGAGCAGGGTTTAGGGCTGTTGTGCATAGGGTTGCTATGAGTCGCAAGCGACTCGACGGCACATAACAACAACAACAACATTGAGTTTAGGAAAGAAAAGAAAAAAAAGAAAGAAAATTTGTAACATAAACCCAACTGAAAACCAAATCTATTTTCATTGAGTCAAATCTGACTCAAAGTGACCCCATAAGGCAGACTGGAACTGTCCCGTGAGGTTTCCAAGGCTCTAATGTTGATGAAAGCGGATTACTGTGAAGCCAAAAGTGAGTTCTGAGCACCAACCTTTTGACTAGCAGCTGAACACTTAACCTCTACACCACAACTTCATGAATGGTGTCCTCCTGCTTAATCTTCATCAACTTTTTCACGTTTTCAGGCATGACTCACAAAGTAATAATCCAAATGCTACAAAATGTTTCTGAACATATAAGCAATTACCAGTGTTTTTTTTAATATTAAAATGCCTTATGAAACTTACAGCAGTTCACTGTACAGAGTAAATGTTGTCAGTCTCTGTCTTTAAAAGCTTTCAGCAACAAGTCTGCGGCTAGTCCTGGAGGCAAGGCCCCGCTGAGAACTCTTCTTTCCAGAAGCGGGATCTGTTCCCTCACCGTGGGGTGGGTCCTGAAGTGCTCTAGCACGCTCTCTTGGATGAGGTTCCACATCCAAACTTTCTGCTGCTTCTGTCGTTTGGCAGTCAGCTCCCCACTGGCAAGCATGAGGTTCTGGAATTCTTTCATCTTATCCCACATCTCAGAGATCCCCTCTCCACTTCTGGAAGAAATACGAATTACCTATTGAAAGGGAAAGAACCGGAACCCCTTTTACATAAAATGAGAGAATGCATTTATTATGAGGAGTGCTGACATTTTGCTTATCAATTTCTATAGTCTTTAGAAATTGTCAAGTGACAAAAGGGAGACATAACTGTAGAAAATGAAATATATTGATATACACACTGAGAAAACTGTCCTAATTACTAGGTACATAGAAAATATAAGACACTGATTCCGGTTTCAACTTGTAGCCTCAATACTTATTTTCAATTTGGATTATACATATGGCCTTTAACGAGGAACTGTAATTTTTTTGAAAGTCAGAAATGTGAAAAGGACAATGACAGGTAAGTCTCCTTAAGTCTTGAATGCCAAAAAATAGAGGTGAGCTGAGAGATTAGCCTTGCCTCAAAGGATGAAATCCAGATGGTCAACAGACTCATGAATAAATGCTCAAAAGCACTGGTAATCAGAGAGATGCAAATAAAAACAATAATAAGATATCATCTTACCCCAATACCAATAGCAAAGTTTAACAGAACAGAAAGCAAAAAATGTTGGAGATGATGTGGAGAGATTGGAACTCTCATATTGGTGGGACTATAAAATGGTACAAGCACTCTGAAAGACAGTTTGGTGTTTCCTTAAAAAGCTTAACACAGAAATTCCATATGACTCAGCTATTCCACTGCTCAGAATATACCCCAAGCAAAATAGAATTGAGATACAAATGGAAATTTGCACACTGATATTCATAGCAGAGTTATTCACAATAGAAAGAAAATAGATAGTCTCAATGTCCATCAACAAACAAATGGATTGAGAAATTGTGGTACATTCACATGATGGAATACTATGCAACATTTAGGAGCAATGATTTTATAAAACAGTATATAAAATGGGAGAGGCTAGAGAGTAGTATGCTGAGTGAACTAACTCGGTCTCATAAGGACAAATACTGTATAAGACTATTATTGTAAAAATGGTACAATCACTATGGAAGGCAGCATGGTGCTTTTTCAAAAAGTTAAAAATAAAAATACCAGGGGAGCTCTGGTGGTCTAGTGGCAAGAAGCTGCACTGCAATCCCAAAGGCATGCAGTTAGAATCCACGGAGGGGAGCAATCTCCTCCTTTACCAATTGGATCCAATTTGATGGTGTACACACACACACATAATAAAATTTATTTAAAAAGATACCATTTGACCCAGCAATCCCACTAGTGGGAACATACCTTAAAAAAATCAGAGGTGCCACCCACACACACATATGCTCACCTACGTTTAGTGCTGTTTTGGTCACAATAGTAAAGATATGGAAGCGACCCAAAGGCTTATCAACAAATGAATAGCTAGAGAAGCGGTGATATATTCACACACTGAAATACTACACAGCACTGAAAAACAAGGAACTCATAAAATATTAAACAAGATGGGTGACCATGGAGGACATTGTGCTGAGTGAAATATCTCCATCACAAATGGACAAACACTGCATAATGCTACTTTATAAAAGAAGACTGGCATGGGGGTTGGGGAGAAACTAATAGAAGAGGGGATAAATAATGAACGTTGCTGTGGAACAGATATGGGAAAGAACTGTTTAAAAGGAATATATGATTAGGTATTATTTTCATGACAACAGTTCAGAATAAGAGATACATAGCAAAGTGGACTGGGCTGCGGTAGGGAGGAAACTGCAACAATGAAAGAATTTTTTTTTAAGAGAAAAGCAAACTGAGGGGAGTGGTAGCAGGTAAAATGTACAACAATAAATGAATGGAAATCCAAGTTTTCCATAAACTTTTGTTAAAATCACAATAAAAAATTTAAAAAATAATAGAAGGATAACTAGTAAGATGTGGATAATAGTCCAAAAGGAGAAGAGGAAGGGACAGGCTGGTTGACAGTGGGGTTGGGGGAGAGGGGCACAGGGTCGGCTGAGGGTGTGGCAGGGGGTGTCATAGGGTTTATTAGGTGGAGGGAAGGTTAAAGAATTAGGAAAGATCCAGAGAGCTTGAAAAGATGGGAAGAAAGCGGGCATAGATCAATGGTGATTCATTTTATAAAACACAGTGTATAGAAATGATCTTATGAAACAATGTGAATGAAGGAATGTGTGAAATACAATTTACATGAACAAAACAGGACACATATGAATTTTGTATGCAAACCAATACAATTTTTTAATATAAAATTTTTTTTAAATTAAAAATCAACCAAATCTCCTGATTCACCAAATGGTAAGAATTATGAATTTGACATTTGCATATATAAGATAGCTTCAAATTCCACAAAGGCAATGTGATTGGGGAAACTGGAAGCTGAAGGTAAGCTATGCCACTGGTGCTCTCATGATAACAATCACACCTTATTCTTTACTAAAGGCACTCTGGTAGTACAATGTATTATGTGTTGCCCTACGAACAGAAAGATTAGCTGTTTGAATCTATCAGCTTCTCTGAGGGAGAAAGGTGGGTACCCTCCTTCTGCAAAGATTTACAGTCTCAGGAACCCAGGGAAGGGTTGCCTCAAGTATCTAGTAGATGGTAATGGGTTATTCTTTAATAGCACAGTATGCAGATAAAGCTGTTCATAATAATATTATAGCATCACTTGTTATAGGATCTTGCAGGGTTTTTTTTTCTTCTTCTTTTTCCTCTCTCACTCAAACTCTAGCATAGCTTTGCTCCATAATCATATTGCTCTATAATCTTAAAAATGGTTACTATACTGTAAAACAGGACTGAAATCAGTGTTTGGGGGAGACATCTTTCTAGATGGGATAAATTATGTACACTGCATCGAAACAGAAGAGGGAGAGAACTGTTTAAAAGGGATATATGATTAGTATTATTGTCATGACAGCAGTCCAGAACGAAGGCTGCACAGTGGAATGAACTTGGGGGAAGCGATTGTATAACAACAAAAGAATTTTTCTCTTACTTTTCAAAGAGAAGAGCAAACTGGGTGGGGGGGTGGTTGGGCAGGGAGAAAAGTGCAACAGTGAATGAATGGAAATCCAAAGTCTCTATAAACTTTGATCAAAATTAATTTTTAAAAAAGGAAGAACAAAGAAAACAAACAAAAAAACACAATCTAACAGCTGCAACTGTGTTATTATTTAAGGAGGACTAAGGAGAGATGCCAGCTAATCATTTTTTTAATATCAAATTAGCAAATGTGAACGTGCAAATGAGGGAAGGAGACTGAGATCCATGGAATGGTATATGTTGAATTTTAGGATAACCTAACATGACTGGAGAATAAAAAAAAAATCCAATAAAGAGCTTTACGTTTTAAAAAAATAAAGATGGTTCCTTTCACAATATATATTTTTTAAATCACTTTCAGCAGGTTCAAATCAAGAACAAAGCACTCAAATCTATAATTTTACATCTAGTTTTGAATTTAGTGGCTGATGGATTATTAAATTTAAAATTGTAAGTACACATTCTTGACTTTGTTATAATTTTTAAACTTGTGATCTTCACGTACAAGCAAAGACTGAGTCTACATTAGGATATTCATCCCCTATCAGAATGTACATAGTTCACTTGCTGACGAATTATAGAATGGAACAAAAGCTAACCTTTGGTCTCCAGACTTCTGAACGTTTGCGGAGTAACTTCAGGGCACTCACATACTCAGCTTGTATCCTTCGAGCTGGTACAATCAAGTCTCCATCAGATTTGGTGACAGCAACCAGATCTGCCATCTCAATGATACCCCTTTTGATACCCTAGAGAGAAAAAAAGGAAAAAGTAGAGCTATCAGAAAGATGTAATCATAATCAGTGTAAGAACTGGACAACCAGTGAACAATAAGATTTTGAAAGCTATTAACTTCATTAATTTTTTATCTGTATCTTTTTATGCCCTGGGTGTGAGGGACATAAATGACTCAGAAACACTGGATTATGGGATTATGAAAATCAACTGTAATACGTCTACCAAGTTTAGAGATTAGCATGTTGAAACAGATTCAGAAGTAGAATAAATATATCATCATGATACAACAGCACTGAGCTGCAGAAGACTGTTTACCCTGTCTCCTAATGGATCTGCTTTTCATGATGTAACACTGTAGGATGTGAAACCATCCATCAGTTAGGTACTTAAAAAGAAAACATATCACTAAAATCTACATTTTCAGGAAAAATATATCTTTGACATTTTCCTTCTCTGTACACAATATTTTGTTTTCAAATTCTTAACTGAAGAAATCTTACGACTAAAAAGTCCCAGTTTATTTCAATTTTGTTGTTATGTGCCATTGAGTCACCTGCGACTCACAGTGACCTTATGAACAATAGTCCTTAACCCTGTCCTACCCTAAGTCAATCCTACTGTCTTCAATACACCTGTCTCCATTACCATAGTCACCATGTCAATCCATTTCATCCAGGTTCTTCTTCTCCTGTGCCAACCTTCTACTCTTCCAAGGAGGATATCCTTCCCCAAGGACTGGTTCCTTCTGGCAACATGCCCAAAGTCTGTGAGACAGAGCTTCAAAATCCTTGCTTCTAAGAAACAACCTGGGTTCACCCTTTCCAGGACAAACCTGTTTATTCTCTTGTTCAATATTCTCCTCCAGCACCACAACTCAAAGTCATCAATTCTTCTTTTATCATACTTAGTCATTGTCCAGCTCACTGATGTACAGAAACTGACTGCAAAGACCATGGCCTAGATCAGGCACATCCTGGTTTCCAGACTGACATCGCTGCCCTTCAGCACTGTGGCAAGGTCCCTGACAGCAGATTTTCCCCAATGCAATTTGTCTTTTGGTTTCCTGGTTGCTAGTACCAAGAGCACTGATTGTGGAGTCAAACAAACTGAAGCTGTTAATAATCTTAATCTCTTCTCTCTCTTCCCTCATCATTTGCAAATGAAGCAACTGAAAATACCACAGCTTGGGTCAGGTATACATTAGTTCTCAAAGTGATATCTTATTCTTCAGCACTTTAAAGAAGTCTGTGGTGGCAGATTTGCCCAACACAGTATGTTGTTTGATTTCTTGACTGCTGCTTCCACTGAGTGTTGACTGTGGAGCCAAGTAAAGTGAAATTCTTATCTTCAGTCATTTTCCCATTTATCATGACGTTGTGGATTGGTCCAACTGTGAGGATTTCTTCTGAGGTGCAACCTATATTGAAAGCTATAGTTTTGATCTTTATCAATAAGTGTTCTTTGCTTTGCTGTTAGCAAGCAAGCACAATACTACAGATAAAAACACTATATGATGTTTAAAAAATACTAGAGACAAAAGGTTTAAATCCAAATGCTATGTTTAAATACAAATGATATATTCTGGTGGCCTAGCGGTAAGGTGTTGTGCTGGCAACCCAAAGGTAGGTAGTTCGAATCCACTAGCTTCTCTGTGGGAGAAAACAGTCAATATCCTCCAGTGCAATTAACTGCCTCTTAAATCTTGCTGGAGGGTCGGCTGCGGGTTGATTCTGACTTGATAGTACACAACAACAGCGATATATCTTATTTGGGAGATATAGATTTCCCCCAAGACTGAATATTCTTTTTTAATTCTTTTAAAGTATAACTTTCAATAATTACATTTTAATTATTTTTTTTTAAATTTTATTATTTTTGTGTGAGTGTACCGTCAGATCAGATCTGACTAGTACAGGAGGAGATTGTCCCTCCTTCCCCGGCAGAGCATCTGGTGGATTTGAACCATGCACTTCTGGGATTGTAGTTGCAGCTCCTTGCCACTAGGCCATCAGAGCTCCCCTAATAATTACATTTTAAAGTTAATGCTTCCACATCACGGAGTTTTTGTGTATTACTATTTTAAACCTTGCTACCTTCAAGTTGAAAGTGACTCATAGCTGACCCTGCAGCTGGTTTTCTGAGACTGTAAATTCCACAGGAGTAGGGCACCAATCTTTCTCCCACAGAGCAACTGGTAACTTTGAAAAAGCAAAGAGGCTCAGCCTTTGGGTTTGCAGTGCAACTCCCTGTGGACTAGACTACCAGAGCTCCAATTACTATTTTGGAATCATAAAAATGAAGAGATTCTAGTAAAAAAAAAAATCTAATTTATAATAGATAAAACATGATAGTCATATTCCAGTTAAAAGCAAAGTAACAGGTTATGAGAATCACTTCACTCAGGTATACTTTGTATGGACTCTCCCCAGGTAGTGCAAACAGTTAAGGCATCTGTCTGATAACCAAAAGGTTGACGATTTGAGTTCATCCCGAGGCAGCTTGGAAGAAAGGTCTAGTCATCTACTTCCGAAAAATTATAGTCACTGAAAATGCTATGAAACAAAGTTTTTTACTCTGACATCCATGAGATAGGCACGAGCCAGAATTTACATGACAGCAGCTACAAACACCCATTCAACAGCAAGCCACTTTCTTTTGCTTCTATCTATCCAGGTATTCCATTCATTCTCATGTTACAGATGGAAAAACCAAAAAGCTCTATGATTTGCTCAAGTTCGGTCACACATTGTAATACTAATACAATACATATGTAAAATACACAAATGCTACCTTTGACTCAGATATTTTTACCAGTGATGTTTCTTACTTCATACTTCCATTAACTTGGTTTACAAAACTGCAGCCCTGGAAACTGTTACTTTCAGAGGTATATATTCTGTATTTTGGGAAAATAATAGCAGAAAATAATTACCTGCAATTCATCTCCTCCTGCTGGTGGCAGCAGTAAAACAAACATGTCAACCATGTCAGCAACGGCAAACTCCGACTGACCCACACCTGAAATTTTAAATCATAATCATACACTAAAATACAGTTATTTGACTTTCTCAACTGCATCAGCCATCACTTGGATTTCACTTGACCCACTTACACCCACAGTCACACAACCGGGAACATACCACCTCTGAAAAAGTTGAAAAATGCCTCCATCTGCCTGCTACGCTTCCTACCTCTCTCCTCCTCCTTTTCTCTATGAGATCTACCCTCTGACCAGATGGAGAACTGAAGAAGTGCCCTTTCCCCTTCATTCTTACAGCATCTTCCTGGTTTTCATCAGCGAACACCCTGAACACTGGGATACTAATCTTAGATAATTTCTGTCAAACTTTACACTTTTGTGCTTCTCATCCTTCTAGCACTCCTGCACATCCTCAAGCATTAAGTCAGTCAACCATATGCTGCCTTCTCTGAAAGCATGCTGGAGGCACTGCGCAGTCAAGTGAAAGCATTCAACCGTGGTGCCACTACAGAGCCATGGCCTCCGACATCTCCGGTGCCTCCCTCATTGCCTGGGAGAGGTGAGCCTTCAAGGCTTCAATCAGTTTCCTTTCCCCACAGTGGCTATTACAGAATTCACTCCTATAATCTTCCCACTTGATGACAGGGCATCTACTTCACAGAAGAAAGGTACGAACTTCCTTAGCTTCTCTCTCTCCTTCTTTGCGGATAAAATGAATGCAAACTCATCCCTCTGCCTCCTTTCCAGCCTTCCTGTAAGAAGTTCCCAAAGATCAGCCTCTTCTTCTTTTCTACTTCTTTTGGGCCCTGACTCTTCTTTATCTATAATACTACTTTTGCCTCAGTACATTGCATAAATTTTGCTCAGGTCTTTTTTCCTATTCATTTTAACATCCAAAAAGATGAAAGGAAGTAAAAAGACTTACAACCTCCTCTGTTATTGTTGGATGGTGTTGAGTTGATTCGTAACAACCCTAAGTACAATGAACAACCATTCCCGGGCCTTTGTAATCCTCACAACTTTTGCTTGTTTGAGCCCATTTTTGCATACATTGTCAAACTACATCATTGAAGGTGTTCCTCTTTTTTGCTTACTCTGCAACAAGCATGATGTCCTCCTCTATCCTCCTATTTCTCATTTCCCCATATAGTCAAAATTTTGGAGAAAAGTAATTTATACTCATTGTCTCCACTTCCTCACTTCACATTAATCCTCACTTACTTAAATCTGGCTTCCATATCCACTGCTCCATGCAACTAATTACACAACAAATTCTCTACTTCTTGGTTTGATCGAGACGTCTTTCTAGCTGCTCATTCTACCCTATCTTCTTATTCCAATGTTATAGCTGTTGTTATGTACCATCCAGTTGGAATCAGTTCATAGCTGGCCTTCTGGCCTGTTTTCGGAGACAAAAAATTGCTTGGGAAAAGAATGCCCGTATTTCTCCTGCAGAACAGATAATGGATTCCTCAGAGTTCCAATCCAGCTGGGAGGCAATCCTCTTATTCCTACCTCTGCTTCCTGCCTTCCCATTCCTCCTTCCTGCCTTCCCCTTCCTCTACCTGGGACATGGGTGGGACAACAAGGCCTTTACTTATTTTTTTTTTTAACCAAGGGCAATGTTGAGGATAGAACCAAAGGTTAAGGATGAAGGAAAAAGAGAGATAGTAGAAGCATGAGATTACTGAGGATCTTGTAGAACAACCACACCTACTCTAGACTTCCTACTTCCTGGCTTCTTTCATTTAGGAGTCTGGGGGCCTCAGGTTTATTATTCAAAATGTCTTTCCTAGCCAATCATTAACGGTTTCATTTGCGTGGAAGTATTTACTATAATCAGGAGAGAGGATGAGGATGGGATACAAGCCCCACTGTACTTGGCTTATAAATAAGCTCATGGCACCTTGGTACTAGCTCTTTCTTTGGGATGCTCACTCCCTGGGACATAGCATCTGGCAGCGCCACAACTGACTAGTCTATAGGATTCTGGCCTATTCCTCACTAGATTCTGCAAAACCAGCCTGCATACCTACAGTCACACGAGTCATTCCCCTGATTGGTCCAAGTGAGGGGAGACCTTCCAGCAAACCACCAAACCCAAGGGACACAGAAGAGCTCGGGAACTGAACAATGGAGGAGCTGATGATGTAAAAAATCACAGACTTACACAGCAGGTCAAGCATTTGGGACAATGTTGACTCAACACTCCTTATAACTGGTCTACTACTAATATTAGCAGAACAAGTTATAAAAATAAGGGGGAGATAAGCTTCTTTCTTGTTGAATTACTGCAGCTTTAAGTGTATGTGACCAACAGCCAAGTTCAACTCCCAGGTACACCTGAATTTTAGGACACTCTTTTCTCTTAATTCTTCTACTCAGACAGCTCTTTCCTCATCCATTTTTAAATCCAAGGATTAGATTCCAACATTGGTTTTCTTCTGGTTTTGCTACATGTTTCTTCCTGTTGATCTCACCAAATTAATAGCTTGAACTGTGAAGCTACAAATTACACCAATAACTGTTAAATCTGTATTCCTCACTCAGTCCTCTCTATACAGAGCCCCTTGGACTTTTAACACATACCTCAAATTAAATATGTTCACTGTTGAACTCATTTTTTTCTCCTCTCCAGATCAGCTCTTTCCCCCTAGAATTCTGTTATTCTTAATAGCTTTTTCTTTTCCCCTCCAAGCATTGATAAATTTTTTTTCCAACTCATCTGATCTTCTCTATGGCGACAGACACTACTTGGGCCCATCGTCTCTTTCTGAGATGGGTTCAAGTCTCCTAACTACTTGCCTGGCTCTACTTGAGCTCCTCTATTCACCTTATATGGTGGTTTAGACACATTCCTGCTTCTTTTACTGTAGTGGCTTTCCACGACTCCACAGTGAAGTCTAAACTCCGCGGTCTGGCCTGTGAGGACCTGGCCTTCTGCTGCAGCCCTGTTTCTCTTCACTCTCTGTCTTCACCTTCCATGTTCTAACTATTCCGAGCAAACCAGTGTTCACGGAATGAGCCATATTTTCTCACTCCTCTGCATCTCTGCAGTGCCCTCTGCCCTATACTTTTCTTCAGTCCACCTTTTTTCTTATAAAATGACCTCAGTTGTCACCTCCTCCAGAAATTCTTCCTTGGTACCCAAATCTACATTAGGCTCTGGCATTAATAGTTCACAAAATAACACTACTTTTCCTTTCCACAAGAATATGACTTCTGGGGAGTTTTTATTTTAGTATGCTCACTGCATATGCTGAGACCACACACCTGAAATCAAACATGACCCTGTCTTTAAGAGGCCCCCAAATATAGGAAATAATTTCCTTAGTAAATATTACAGGTACATGTGAAATGTGCTTACACAAAATAGGTGTTGTATTAAAGCACTGTTTGCATAGGTTATCCCAAAGTTTACAGCCTGTTACTTACAACACATTACTTTGCATAACAGTTACTCAGATACATGGCTTACTTTCACCCTTTAAATGGCAAACTCTTTGAGGGTTGAGATTAGAAATCATATATCTCCTACTGAGTTTGGGATAATGGCTTGAATTTCATTATATCTTTAATAAACATGAGCTAGATGAACAAAAATGAAATCGTTACAATTTAATACACATTGTAGTAGTATTTTATTTTTATGAAATAGAAAAACCACACTCACCTACAGTTTCAATAAGAATGATATTATATCCCCCTCCTTCACACAAAAGAATAGCTTCATTTGTAGTCCGGGTCACACCTCCTAAAGTTCCTCTGGTAGGGGAAGGCCTGATGTATGCATTCATATCTCTTGATAACTCAGTCATTCGAGTTTTATCACCTAAGAGTGATCCTAAAACACATATTATTTTATAATCATGAAAAAGTTATAAAGGCTGTTTATCACACAGTTCTTCGAAAAAAATGTTTTATGACATTTCTCCCAAAGTCTCAAATTTAGTATTTGATATCAAATATTTAACACTAAATTTTCTCTCCATCTCACAATGTACAATGAGATGGCTCAAACTCACAGACACAACTTATCCCTGCTTGATCCTGCCCCATGCTCACAATGATGATTTCACAGTGTGATTAAGGCCACTGTTGCAGTCACATTGTGCTAATCAAGCTTGTCGAGGCTCTTCTTTTTCACTCACTCTCCACCATTTTTTCATGCATGAAGTTCTTATCCAGGTACAAGCCCCTTCTGATGTTGTTAGGAGTCATAAAATATGACCCATAGTGACCCTATGAAAAACAGATCTGAACCCTGTTCTATCCTGTTCCATCTTCACACCTGACACACTAGGAACCCACTGCAGCAGTCACCATGTCAATCTACCTGGTTGAGGGTCTTCCTCTCCTTCACCGACTCTCTGCCTTTCTGAGCATCATATGAATATTCCCTCCTACCAACATGTCCGAAGTATGTGAGGTGAAGCTTTATCATCTTTGCCTCCAAAAAAGCACTCTGGTTACACCCTCTCCAAGACATATCTGCTTGTTCTTTGGGGCGTCCATGGGATCCTCAGCACTCTTCTCCAATAGGACAGCTCAAAGGCATCAATTCTTCTTCTATCACCCTTACTCATTGTCCAGCTTTCAGATGCATAGAAGTTATCAGAAAGACCATGGCCTGAATCACATCTGACAGCATACGCAAAATATATGAAACGTAGTCTCATTATCATCTTCATCTTTAAGGCAAATTCTGGCTGCACTCCTTACAAGACAGATTTGTCTTCAAAAGGTCATTGTCTTGGAAGCAACATTAATTAGTCTCTCTCAGACTGAACAAGTAAATCCAGTCTTTTTAATCAGCTTTCTTCCACAGTTTCCTCCCACTCTATCCAGAGTCTCCTAATGTGACCCTTTCCAGAGTGTTTGGCAGTGGTAGGTAGCAAGGCACCATCTAGCTCTTCTGGTCTCACCGTTGTGGAGGGTGAAGTTCACATGGGGCTCCATTTCAGTAGAACTGCGTTCCACAACGGCTCTGACCTTTTAGAAGCAGGCTGCCAGTCCTTTCTTCTGCAGCACTTCTGGAAGGGTTTAAGCCACCAACCTTTCAGTTGAGTGCATAATCATTTCTATTGCCCAGGGATTCCATTTCTAACCATCTACAGGCTCTGGAATATAATTACATCATCCTCTTTACTCGTAAGTACTAAATCCACAGCATGCAACCCAAGCACTTTTACAAAGTACCTTGTACCTGTCAAAGGCCAAGATGGTACGAAGTACCTTCCTTGTAAAATGACTTGCACAGTTATTGTTGTTAAGTGCTACTGAGCCACAGATGACTCATAGTGACCCTATAAACAAAAGACCTGAACACTTGTATAATTTTCATCGTTTCTCCATGTTCATAGTTTCCGGAGTTAAGCTATTTCAGAAGTGGATGCCACTCCTGTCTCCAAGCTTGTAGGTGACTTACAGCGACCCTATGAAGGAAAGTTCTTGGCACCTGTATGCGTGACTTTCATCCTCTCTCCAGGTTCATAGGGTTTCTGGAAGCAAGCTGTTTACAGAAGTAGATTCCATTCCTGCTTCCAATCTTGTTGCAACCAGAGAGCGCCACCAAGCACTGTCCACCATGGGTGACCATTATTGCATTTGACACATCAGTGTCACAGTGTTCAGCTTCACAGTGACCACAAGTTACTATACAGCAAGTGGACACGCCAGGGCTACACTATCTAGAAGACTGTTTGAATAAAAGTAATGAAAAACAGGCCTTAGTACCGCGGATTAGAGTCACCCACCTTTGGCTTGGTAGCATCGCTTTCGGTCCACTAGGCCAACTGATCTCTCTCTGTGTGGTTAAGTGCTGCTGAGTTGTAGGCGACTCATAGTGACCCTATGAACGAAAGTTCTCAACACTTGCGTGACTTTCATCCTTTCTCCAGGTTCATAGGGTTTCCAGAGGCAAGCTATTTATGGAAGCAGATGCCATTCCTGCTTCCAAGCTCATTTTAACTGGGCATATAGTAGGCACTCAAACAATTGTTAACAGAACAATTGGAACATGAGAAGCTGAAATCGTCAAGAAGGAGTAAGGGAAGACAAACATTTACTGGGTATTTATACGGCATGCTTTATGTTTCCTTTTAAGGGGCTTTCATGGATGAAGATGGAAAGCTATACTAAGTTCATATCCACTTTCTATTTGATATGTTACAAATTAAACTTTGAGTCATTGTATGACTTCCAATCGGTACGTTAATTGCTAAACACGATATGCAATAAATATTTTACTCTAAGAGCTGTAGGGGAAATACAAGTATACCACATGGTCCTTTGAAGAGCTTTCTGTTTAATTGAACATTTAATATGAGCAAGCTACATTATAACCTACAAAGAGCGGTCAGGTTTTTTGTTTGTTTTGGCTTTGTTTTAAGTTTAATAAAAGAGAGATTACAACAATATGAGCAGAATAAAATATTAATAAAAGCTCATTTTCTGAGCTGAGTAGCTGCTGTAGCTACCAGGAAAAAAAAAAAATAACAAGAGCAAAGAGAGGTCTGGCCTGAACACAGCAGAAGAGCTGAGGTTTCCATTATTGTCCACTTCACCACCTGCTCTCCCAGTTCTCTGTGTCCTTTCCATGTTGCCATTTAAAAAGAATCAGCAACACTCACCACCACTAGTACAAGAAGAAGGGTCCACAGCCAGCACAGATACTTTGTGCCCTCTCTCTGTAAGCATTTTTCCGAAATATTCTATAAATGTTGATTTTCCAGCACCAGGGGGCCCAGATAATCCTAAAATGGAAAAAAAGACCCCTCATTTATTGAAGTAAATCAGATTAGCACTATGGTGAGTGACTATCTTCTGTATTTCCTCCATCAATGACTTGAAATCATGAGTGTATTTTAATGCCTCTCAAAGCAGTACACAAAAACTAGTACCTTCCATTAATTTCTAAGTAATATAGAAAGGAAACAATTATGAGTTCTATATGTTCACAAAATTTATTTTTAATAAAGGTATTTTACTTTTTTTTAACAGTAAACCTATCTGGCTGGCTTCACTGCTTAAGGAAGCTCTGGTGGGGTAGTTCATAGGGAATTATGTTGCTACCACAAAAGTAAGACCTCTTGGGAGGTTCGAATCTACCAGTTGCTTCATAGGAGAAAGATAGGCAATTTTCTATATGATTGACAGCCTTAGAAAGCCCACTGGAAAGTCAGCCATGAGTTAGTTCCAAAAGAAATTAGTTCATTGCTCATGCTATTAATACACTTAACAATCTAGCCCCCAGTAATTATTCCACCTATCTCAGCCCTGAATGTTTTTCTTTCCATTAGAAGACTACTCTAGAACTACTATAAAACTACTCTAGAAATTGACAGTGTTTAAGAAAATAATTTTATATTTATGATGGATAATTTTTCCCTCATCCTACTTATAACCCAATAAGTACTATATAAATGAAATCTCCCCCT